GGCAACAGGTATCAAACTCGCGTCTGTATTTCACCCCCGCAAGCCTTCACCATCCCATGCATGGTTCAAGGAATTTGCAGGAAAAACAAAGTAGATATATATGTATATATACATAGATGGGGTATCAACACCGGGGGATGTAATAAAATGTTTTTTTTATATTAATAATGTAATATCTAATCATTCCATTTTTGGATGATTTCATTCTATGAATATATGGTCCCCAGGCAGATTTCCCCCCTTTTGAACCAAGGTGCTGCAAGATGCCATTGGCATGGGCACAGCCCACCTCAGCGCAAAGCAGCGGCTGATTCCCGACATGGGTATGTCACTAGCAGGACCCCATGGGATCCGTGTCGGGTAGTCCAAAAAATGCCAATTGTTCCTCATGAAAATGGGAAAATTCAGACAAAAAGTACCTCATCTTCAGATTCACGAATTTTTGGAGATGTAACCAGTCTGAAATCCTAAAGGGACCAAATGGCTGTAACCTTGATGTCCTCAACCTTCCAAAAAAAATGCAAATTATGTCATATTCCCATGATTATTACCCGGGCCTGGGCCTGAAATAGGTTTGATCCGTTCACTCCAGATCAAAGAAAACATGAGTAGTATAGTTTCTTGTAACGTCCTTTAGCTGCCATTTTTGCCGCTTCTCGGCCTTTTCTTCCTGTTGATCATCCCATCTCCCTGATGGAATTTCAAGCACTTCTTATCACTTCCCGAGTTAGGACATGGCTTGAACAACTCTTTTCAACGTAGACAAAAGAAACTACTTTGTAAAGCCGGGAAAACATTTGGGGATGGGTCAAAACCCTGGTACCTAGTGAACCCCAAAATAGCTGGTAAATGGATGTTCATCCCACTAAAAATGTATCTATAGGTATTGACCCATACCCATTTGTAAAAAGTCCCGGGTGAAGAAACACATCACCAGCCATGGCCGCCATGACAGCCATCCCTTTTTGGCTAGCGACAACCACGACCACGCGTTGGCATCCAGATCTGGAGCGTACCTAACGGTGAGGGATTCTCGGCACTGAGTTTGTGCTGGTGAATCTCAAGAGATGAGGATAGAATGAGATGGAAGTTATGGGAAGTGATGGTTGAGTCTTTCCATTGCCGCCAGTTGCTGGGAAGTCCAGAGGCTCTTTTTTTTTGTGTTAGCTTGGCCACAAATTTGCACTTGTTCATCATAATTGTTCCCATCATTTCACTGGGATTTGCTTAGGCCAAATCGTGAAATCCAGACCTCCAAGGTCACGCCCCCCCGAACCCGACCTGGCTGGCCATTGACTGGTACATGGCCTGCACAGGTGGGATTCTCCACTGAATTTAGATAGAGGTTTGTATCAGAGTGGGGGGGTACCGGGATACCTACAATTCTGGCAACGAAGTTGTGGAAAATGAGGATCAAACATGATAAAACATGTTAAAACATGATCACACCTGGATGAAACGGGGTTCCGATGGGTTCCAAGTGAGACAAACCCATGTTAGGATGTGATTCAAAGGCGGCGCAGGGAACATCCTGAAGTCCAGAAGAACAGCCCACTGGGGCATGTTCATCACGCTGGGCGTGACACTAAAACTCCCCTTCACCAGTGGATTTACCCACTTACATCCTCATCTTTTGCTCAGTTATACTATCAGTAGAGATCTCATCTTCATGGTTTGCCCCGAGGGCCCGAGGGCCGCCTGGTCGCGGGCGGCCACCATGGCGGAATAGATGCAGGGCGCCATGTAGAGCTCGATGGCCAACAGGATATCGGAGATCACCGCCTGGGGCGAGTTCTTGGGCGATTAAATATGGCACCAGTCCAGTGGGGGGTTTTAAAGAAACCATGGATTTTTACAACTTTATCTGATATATGATTAAAATTGGGATTTCTGGTAGTTTGCCCGAAATGGTGGATAAATAATTTCAATTTGAATATATAATTTATATAATATTATATAATCATCTACTTGGTCACGCGCGGATATTTGACCTTGAGTTGTTTGTTGATTCATTCATTTTTCAATCTTAAAATTTTGCAACCTTTACAGCACTCTGTGCTCTGTGTGGAAATGAAACTAGTGTTTCGCTGTTGTTTTGGCGCACGCATGTTTGTTTTTCACTGGTATCTGCATTTTTTTGATTTTGACTGGCTCACCCTCCACGTCGCTCAAAGGTATTTGTTTCATCTGGGTCTTGGAAGTTCCAAGAACAAGTTCAGAGCATACCATCAAAAGCGTCTTAGAAGTTCCAAGAACAAGCTCAGAGCGTAGCATCAAGAGCGTCTTAGAGGTTCCAAGAACAAGTCCAGAGCGTAGCATCAAGAGCGTGTTAAAATTTTGAAAAAAAAAAAGATCGTATTTAGACAGAACATGTTATCACCACACACAAGACAAGAACGTTATTGCGCCCCCCACCCACCCCTCCCACCCAACCTTTGACCCCCTTCCCTACTCAATGTGCCTCCATCTACTTTGGGGGGTTGATCATGTGATATATCCAAGTGTATTCAATTGTAAATGGAGTATGTCAAACTGTTTGCTGGTTGAAAATCGCCTTTTGGTTGCTTTACATCTCATTTTGGGTTCAAACAAATTCCTAAAATCAAAATGTAGAGATCATCATCTAATTGTTATATTCTTGCATATCATCAAAATATGTGTATGGGTCAATATTGGGTACAGTACCCCAATCATTGGATATCATTGGATGGTTGATACTAAAAAAAACAGTTCCAATCCGTGGTCCCTAAGGTTGTCAATTTTGATATAGGGTTTCTTAAAATGGGGGATCTCAAAACCATGGGTTTCAAGACTAAATCATGGTCCCGTGTCTAATGACTTGGATGCTTTGGGTTTTGGGGGTACCCCCATGATTTAGGACACCTACATAAAATTACATATATATATATATATATATACAATTTAAAATGTATACAGCGATTCATATGTAGTACGTTAGGTGTACTTAATACCAATCGCCTGTGTTATCAAAATAGATCGAACATAGGGCAGGATATCCCATACCATCAAAACCCATTGATATTTGTTGTTATAATATATATATATTTCAATATATTGTTATAATACAAAAACGATACTTGTTATAATCCCATATATAGATATAGTTCTTATATATCCCATACCATCTAGTTGTTATAATATACCCATTGATCAAAACACTAGATCCCCAGTCTCCCTGCCCTGCTGCACCTGACGATCTTCTGGCTTGACCACGCCAGCACCCTGCCAGTTTCGCGCGACCAGCTGCAACGTTTTCCCATGAAATCACAAGGAGATCTACTGAGAGAACTGTACCTTAACCCTCCAAGTAGCCATAGAAATGGTGCTTTGCCCCATAGTCTCAATACTTTTTCCCATTTTTGGGCGGGTGTTCGGATGGTTGTTACATGATTTTCATGGCATGACACCAAAAAAAATATCTAGATATGGGCACAGGAAGATCTCCCCCAAATCGAACTGCAACTATATCCACCCGAAATCCAAACTGCCTGACACACCAACTTCCTCATCTTGGGGTCACATGAAGGCATCCTCCGGACTCATCACACTCTGTGGCCCCGAGGAAATTGTTTCCAGATGTTAAAGACCATAGACATCCCAAGAATTTTCCCCATCTGCCACAAACTGGCTCACTATTTCCCAGCTGTTTCACCACAAATATATATATATATATGTGTGTGTGTCCATATGTTTCCACATGTTCTCCCAGCAAATTTACTTGAAGCCGCCTCGGCTGCGCTTTCGGCTCCGCTGCCCAGCAACAGCAGCAGCAGGGCCACCAGGCCGCTGGCGCAGAAGGCGCCCAGGAGAAAACTGAAACAGGTGCCCAGCCTGGTGGCCGTGGTGGTCATGGAAGATGTGATTTCTGACATAGAAATAATATGGGGGTTTCCATAAATGGGTGTATCCAAAAATGGATGGTTTATAAGGGAAAATCCATCTACAAATGGATGATAACTGGGGGTACCCCTATTTTAGGAAACCACCAGATGTATATATACATATATAATTCAATATTCAATGTTAAATGTTACACATTATATAAATAAAATAATATAGTAAATATTGTATATCAAATATTATTAACTATATACTACATATTTTTATATGATATCTAAAATTTGAAATATTATGTTTTAAATATTATATATATGACATATTCAATAAAAATGCAATATGTTATACATATATATATATTAATATATATTAAACCATGAATCTTAAATAGTTTATATATAATATGATATACAATATATCATATATTATATTTAAAATTTCAACAAATAAATATAATGTTTTTAAATATTAAACATTGTAAATTATATATTATATTTTATATATTATATATTATATATTATATGTTATCTTTAAATGCGCTATACATGCATATATATATATTAAATATATATATATATACATTAAATATATATATATATATTAAATCATATATACTATATATATAAATAAATACAATATAATTATATACATACTAGTAGTTTTCAAACATGTGCGTATATATATATATATATACACACCGTAACATGTTTTTTTTGGTTGATTATATCATGATTATTTGTGAATATATCTGAGTGTGGTCATGATGAACATGCTTATACGAAATCATTGATGTTTGTTTATTTTATTTGAAGATGTACACAAATAAAAATATATGGTCATTCACGATTATGTATGGCTGTGTATGATTAAGAATTTTCTGTAGGTTTACATCACGGAAAGCAACGCCCCATCTTTTAGGGACATCCAACCGGGATGTCAATGGGGATACTTACAATCGAGAAAAGTTCTGGCTATGGTTGGTACAGGGTATACAATATATGTTTCCTTCTCTTAAATTTGCATATTTTTTCTCTTCCCCAAGTTTCTCACCATGTGTTCCAGTCCTTGCACCGGCCACGAGGCGCTTCAGAAAAAACCGATGGGATTTCAGGCTTCCAGTCTGGAGCCTAGTGACACCTGGCAATCCTCACGGGGATGGCAAAGGTATGCCAGAGGGAAGACACTGCGTATCCACCGGCCACCAAGTTTTCGACGAAAGTGGCAACAAATCATACCCCAGGAGCACTTCGTCCATTGAATCCCAAAAGTGAAGTCACTGGCACAAACTACCTGAGATGGCTGCTCAACCTCCAGAAAATTTAAGAAAATAAAGAAAACAAACTAGGACATTTCAGTTTGGCCAGTTTGATCTTTTAACTGATCCCCTTTACAAACAATTTAAAAATCAAGGTCCAATTTAAAAGGTTCTACCCCTAACAACTAGACGACGGTTGGCCCGAGAGCGAGAAACACGTCCTTCAAGCAGCTCTGAGTATGGTAGTCGTAAAAAATAGTCGGTGAATGGTTGGTGAATTTTGTATGAGCTATGGAGGGGAAAGTTGTGAAATTACACGCAGACGCTTTTACACACAAACACTTTCACAGACGCGTTTACACACAGAGACTTTTACACACAGACGCTTTTACACACAGACACTTTTACACGCAGACGCTTTTACACACAGGCGCTTTTACACGCAGATGCTTTTACACACAAACTCTTTCACAGACGCGATTACACACAGAGACTTTTACACACAGACGCTTTTACACACAGACACTTTTACACGCAGACGCTTTTACACACAGGCGCTTTTACACGCAGATGCTTTTACACACAGAAGCTTTTACACACAGACACTTTTACACACAAACGCTTTTACACACAGACCCTTTTACACACAGACACTTTGACACACAGACGCTTTTACACACAGACGCTTTTACACGCAGATGCTTTTACACACACACACACTTTCATACACAGAGGCTTTTACACACAGAAGCTTTTGAAGAGTGTCTCTATATGACATTTTATGGTCCTGAACTCAAACTGTTCTGTTTTTGACATCAAGCACATGATGGCATCGAGCTCTGTTGCAAACGTTTGCAGACATTTCACTAGTGAAGTATTGTCACATGTGTCATTTACAGCATCATGGTACCGATCTTTTTTTGGCCATTTATGTGGGATTTTCCATAATAAAATGAAATAACATGTGTCATACACAGCATCATGGTACCGAGCTTTTTTGGGCCATTTATGTGGGATTTTCCATACTAAAATGAAATGACATGTGTCATACACGGCATCATGGTACCGAGCTTTTTTGATAGTTTCTGTGGGATATTCCCAGAATAAAATGAGATAACGCGTGTCATTTGCTGCATTATGGTATTGGACCTTTTTTTGTGCAAACGTTTGCAGACATTTCACTAGTGAAGTCTTGTCACAAGTGTGATTTACAGCATCATGGTACCGATCTTTTTGGGCCATTTATGTGGGATTTTCCATAATAAAATGAAATAACATGTGTCATGAACGGCATCATGGTACCGAGCTTTTTTGGGCCATTTATGTGGGATTTTCCATAATAAAATGATATAACCTGTGTCATACACAGAGGCTTTTACACACAAACGCTTTTACACGCAGATGCTTTTACACACACACACTTTCACACACAAACGCTTTTACACACAGACACTTTTACACACAGAGGCTTTTACACACAGACGCTTTTACAAACAGACGCTTCTACACACAAACACTTTTACACACAGACACTTTTACCCACAGAAGCTTTTACACACACTTTCACACACAGAGGCTTTTACACACAGACGCTTACACAGAGACTTTTACACACAGAAGCTTTTACACCCACACACATACACACACACACACGCACACACGCTTTTCTTGTACACACACACACACTTTCACACACAGAGGCTTTTACACACAGACGCTTACACAGAGACTTTTACACACAGACGCGTTTACACACAAACGCTTTTACACAAAGACGCTTTTACACACAGAAGCTTGTACACACAGACTCCTTTACACACAGACGCTTTTACACACAGACACTCTTACACACAGACGTTTTTACACACAAACGCTTTTACACACAGACACTTTTACACAGAGACTTTTGCACACAGACACTTTTACACACAGAGGCTTTTACACACGGAAACTTTTACACACAGACTCCTTTACACACAGACTCCTTTACACACAGACGCTTTTACACACAGACGATTTTACACACAGACGCTTTTACACACAGACGCTTTTACACACAGACCCTTTTACACACAGACGCTTTTACACGCAGACGCTTTTACACACAGGCGCTTTTACACGCAGATGCTTTTACACACAAACACTTTCACAGACGCTTTTACACACAGAAACTTTTACACACAGACACTTTTACACACAGACACTTTTACACAAAGACCCTTTTACACACAGACGCTATTACACGCAGATGCTTTTACACACACACACACTTTCATACACAGAGGCTTTTACACACAGAAGCTTTTGAAGAGTGTCTCTATATGACATTTTATGGTCCTGAACTCAAACTGTTCTGTTTTTGACATCAAGCACATGATGGCATCGAGCTCTGTTGCAAACGTTTGCAAACATTTCACTAGTGAAGTATTGTCACATGTGTCATTTACA